ATAAAATGACAAATTTAATGATGTTACACAATAAAATATAAAATAATAATTAATAAATATTATATTTAAACTAATAACAAAATACAATACAATGTAGTAACAATCATTCAAACAAGTTTTATTATTTTCTGCCCACTTATGAAATCGAAAGAAACTAGAATAAAATTTATTTGTTCATCCACTATAAAAATTTCTGGTTGTTTAATTAAAGGAAATTGACCTAATAATTCGGTGAAAATAAATCAAAGTTGTCACCATCAGTAATAAAATAGTTTCTAATAATAGCAGAAGATAGTCAAAGTCAAACCAGAAGGAAAAAAAAAATGGTACAATCAATATTGGTTTTGATCAGTATTTGTTGAATCGATTAATTTGAATTGGTCAAATCCATTTTAGAGAAAAGAAAATCAAAATTGACCTCAATTTTGATTTTGACAAATCAATTGAAATTTGTTTTGAAGCGACATAAAAATGTATCATTTGTGTCATTCTTGCTAACTAGTAACCAAAATAGGGTGTATGAATTTCTCACATTAGTTTGATCAAAATATCCAATAAACATAGTAAAGGAAAAGAAAATAAAATTCATTTTCTTTCATCATTTATCCCGGTTATGACTTTAAATTATTGATTTAAAATTGAAATTTTATTTGAATATATAACTTATATTTTAAAAATTTGTAATTTTATAATTTGTAGGAATTATCAAAACTTTTCAACTCTTATACAAATTTCATATGATATAGATAATCTTTTCACCTTAAACATGCGTTTTTTTAGTTTGCCAAATTCAAAATTAAAAATGAAAATGTAGAAGGAAATCTACTGCTCAACTGTCCCATGTAGTAATTTAATTTTGGAAAAAAGGATAAATATATCCTCGAACTATCGTAAATGGTATGCAGATACCCTCTGTCATACTTTAAAGACATTGGTGCCCCTGCCATAAAAAAACTAGAGCATATATGTCCTTCACTCTAACGGAAGACTAAATAGGGACACGTGGCGCAATCTTATCCGTCGATCCAATATTTAATAAATGTCAGGTCGATAGATAAGATTATGACACATGTATGTCCGTTAGTATAAAGGGTATATATGCTCTAGTTTTTGGACGGCATGGGCACCAATGTCCCAAAAGTATGACGGAGGGTATCTGCATACCATTTACAATAGTTCGAGAGTATACTTTTCTTTTTTCTCTTTAATTATTAATGGATGAAAGGGACTGAAATCAGCCTTGCCTTATTACTTAGCTCTTGCCAAGTGGCATTATTAGACATAAACATGACCCTTAACTTGATTTCAGCAGACAACTATGCCCTCCAACTTTGAGTGTGCACAATTAGCCACTCAAATTTGTATAAAATTAAACAAGTAGACACACGTGTCCTACATGACATAATACACATAGGACGTCACGTAGGATACAAAATTGTCATGTAAGGTGTCATGTAGGACGAATGTATCTATTTGTTCAATTTTATACAAGTTTAAATGTCTACTTGTACACACACAAAGTTAAAGGTCATAGTTTTCCGTTGACGCTAAGTTAAGGATCATGCGTATGTATTATGCCAAAAAAAATATATACTAATCTGTGCAATATTTCTCTTTTATTTATGTAGCAAATATAAATTTTGTAAGTTTTAATCGTTGAAACTCTATTTTTTTTTCTTTCCCATTCTATATCACAACGTCATATTATACAATAATAGAGAAAATAAGGAGTTCAGGATGCATAATCATGAATCGAGAATATGCTATAGCGGCCCTATATCGGTGGTTCAGGAGCCCCACATCGGATCTAATGAATCTAAATATGATATCATGTTAAATTAGGAATTGGTCCTAATTCTCAACTCAAAAATTAACTTAAACATAAGAAAATCGTCTAAATCTTACAAAGAAATTCAAATTTTCATCTCGATTCAATGTGAGGTCATTCTAATCAACAGAGTCGCACCCCCACCCCCCTCCCTGACCCTAACAACCACAAATGGCAAAATTGGGCTGCATTGACCATTCAAACTCATGCACTGCTTTTTGAATTAAGACTTCTGATTACTGAACTATCAACACTGCTTTTTCATGGAGCATTTCATCTTGTATAATTTTTCATTTCATAATGTTAATACTATTGTCCTAGAACAAATTAAAAGGCTCTAATTTTACTAGGGTGATAATATGTACATTACGCATGTTAAGCATTTATTTACAGGTTTAACAATTGTAATCCTTATGTAGCTCTATATACACTTTTACTAAATCCCATGAAATGTCATATCGAATCATGCCTTAGCCACACCACAAAGATCACAAAATTTGAAAATCTGATTAACTTTTCTGTGTAATTTCAATCATGAATATGATTAACTTATTTTAGAATACATAGAAAGAAATATGAAATTACTATAGTGACTGAATATCTAATTTATGATTTTAATTTGACATATAAATGAAATTTCGTTCGAAATGAACCCAAAAATAAACAATATTGACTCAAACCTTCTATTTCAAACTGACGCAGGGTTAAACCATCCCACTTTGCATCAAATTATCTTTTTTTTTTTTGTTGAAATAGAATTTAAATACGTAAAACTTATATATAAAAATAATAAATCAAAATAATTAATAATTTAAAATATTTAAAAGATATATAGATAAAAAGTAAATACTTATAGCTGTATCGAATGTTATCAAATCAACATAGATTAATATAATTAAATGATTGAATAAAATGAATGTACATTAATTAATATAGTTAAGTACGTAATTGTCGTGTATATTTAAATATGTATTATGTATTTGATTTGACATAAATTGATTAAATTTTATCCACACAAAGTGGGACGGAAAGAATACCTGGTTTTCAATATGAATGAAATCATTTGTAATATATGTTGAAGAACATACTAATTCAAGTTCATACGTTCTTATAACTTTAAATTTATTTTAGAAACTTTTGTCAAAGACGTGACACTATTGGCTTATAAAATAATTTCATACTAAAAATAAAAAATATTTATCTGAAGCATGTCATAATTTTCAATGTTGGAATTCTTCTTTCTTCCTAAATTAAAAAAAAAAAAAGAGAGAGAGAGATACACGTCATTGTATCATTTATAAATATATTTTTTAGATTGAAAATCTTAACAAAATTATTTTAGTTGAAGAATTTGACAATTTTAAAATAAAGTCAGTACACGTGGTCCCATGTGTCATTATCCATCTGAGGTAAGGCTAATACATTTTGCCCACGTTTGGCTTTGTCTTTACAAGTAAGAATTCCTACTTCCAGAAGGAATCATGTGGGGCCTTTCTGTCCAAATCCAAACTGTCATGCCTCTCCGCGCACGTAGATAAAACATTTTCTAATAAAGATGACTTTATTTATAAAAATATTTAATTAAAGATGATAAAATATTTATCACTTCACTACAATTTTGATTGCTCCACGCGCTCTCTTCAAATTTGAAAATACAGTAAAAGTCAATGCCCACTATATTTTATAGTAGAAATTTTTCAATCAAAACTTCGATACCAATCATTGCGTAAGATCATATTATAACAAGCATACAATTACATGCAAAATCAATTTTAAAAAATCAAGAATTTAATGAACTTTAATCAAGTCAAGTCCCCATGGGCAAAAGATAATTTTCACTCCGAATGAAAAAAAAAATAGTACAAACAATCATGTAACAAGAAATGATTTTTCAGATCTACAAGAACAATTTTTTTTTTCTAAACTTACAAGAAATATAGGTTTTCCAAACCAACTACAAAATCTAACATAATAACTAGGATTGACAAAGTTCAAAACACAAAGCAGCACTATGCAATTATTGAAAATAGTTGCATACAAAATCTCAAATAATGGTGTGTTCAATTTATTTTAAGAGCAATTTTCACATATAGCAAACATAAAAATCAAATTTGTATGTTATAGCAATTTTCACAGTTGTATATGTATATATGTTTAATATGTATATAAATAAAAATTTGTATTAGTTGAATCTGTTTATGTATTTGAAAATTCATGAAAAAAAATAAATTTTCTTTTTTTATATACAACTATATGCCTGAAGCAGACGCCATTTTCTTGTATACTCTATTTCTGAATCCCGCCAGTTTTGTAATAGCAGCCGAAGAAGCAGCCATTTTCTTGTCCTTTCGCTCGGAGAAATTGCTATAGCAAATTATATAAAATTGTAGCTGCGAATTGGAAATAAAGTAAATTATAGCTATAACATTTAATTTGAATTAATAGTTTGCTATTATATACAATTTTCCCTTTAATCATATAAAAGGAAAAAAAGGTCGGAGAAATAACAGATATGAATTCCTATTTTTTTTCCCCAGTCTATGTAAAAGGAAAAAGGTCTGTTTGCTTATGTTCCATTTTGCAAAAACTAAAATAAAAATGGAACTGAAAAGCCACGATAAATAAAATTGATCGTTTGGTTGGAAATAAGTTATTTTGAAATAATTATTTTATTACTATGATATACAACGATGGGACAAATAATACAATGACTACTTAATACCTCCAATCAAATGCATGATAAGATAATTCTATATTTTATTTCGAAATTATTATACTTTATGTTAGGACCGAAATCATTAGGTGTCATGCGGAAGCTAGCAAAACAAACCTCGATAGACCACGAGTAAGAGGACAAACGAGAAATATAATAAAAGACACAAAGATTTAACGTGATTCGGTCAATTGACCTACGTCCACGAAGGAGATGAACAATCCACTATATAAATATGAGAGTACAAAATATAAAGAGAAATAACATCAATCAATTCACTCGGAATACAAGGAGGTTCACACAAGTGATAATGTATCACTTGTGTCCCACAAATTCTGCCCCTAACCAAAACTCTCAAAGCCCCTAAAACTACATTATGAATGTTGATTAAGTTAGAAGGTATTGAGAATGAATATTATTAACATGCATTTATACTTATTGGTCAGTTATGATAGTTAGCCTTAGTGATTGTTAGCCTGATTAGTTACAGCTGGCAGTAGTTAGTTACTAGTTTGTTAGATTGCTAAGTGCAGTATAAATGCACATGTACTCATACGTTTTCATTTGAGAAGTTTTATTCAAGTAAACAAGTTCTGTTTTTCTTCTCCGCCATTGATGCTCACTTTAGGGCTTGTAATTGGATCGTCAATTGCTGCGTTTTGATATGGTATCAGAGCCATTGTCGCTTACTTCCAGTTTGTAAGTCTGTTCGTTCCCTATATTCGATTAACGTCGATTTTTGTATTGCTTTACTTGCTTCCGCTGATCCTACAATGGCTGTTTCTCTCGATGAACCTGCGTCTTCTTCTGCTTCCACTGTTGCTGGTTCTATTGATCCAAACAATCCTCTATACGTGCATCCCTCAGATAGCCCTGCACTAATGCTTGTTCCCGTTCCTTTTGATGGAATGGGATATCGATCCTGGAGAAGGAGCATCATGCGATCTCTCTCAGTGAAAAACAAATTAGGCTTTATTAATGGTGATTTCTCAAAGCCTACTGCGAATTCTCCTCAATTGCGTCTTTGGCAAAGATGCGATGATATGGTCACATCGTGGATCCTCAATTCTCTTGCTAAAGATATCGCAGATAGCGTTGAATACGTTACTGATTCGGTTGAATTGTGGAAGGAATTGGAGGATCGATATGATCAAACTAATGGCGCGAAGTTATACCAAATTCAGAAAGAGATTAATGATCTAACTCAGGGTGTTCTGGACATTACTTCTTACTATACTAAAATGAAGAGATTGTGGGAGGAACTTAGTAATCTAAATGCCAACAATCAGTGCACCTGCACATGTCTCTGTGGAGCCAAGGATGGTACACACAAAGCTGAACAAGACAGGCGTTTGATTCAGTTTCTAATGGGCCTTAATGAGGTTTACACCGTTATCAGGGGCAGTGTCCTCATGATGAGTCCTTTGCCTTCAATGGCACAAGCCTTTTCCATCTTAATACAGGAAGAAAAACAAAGGGAATTTAAGCCAAAAGGCCAGATGTTGATGGAATCTGTTTCCTTGAATGCAGGAAGTCACTCTACAGGGAATTACTCTGCTGGTGCAGGCCCTTCAAACTCAAAAGGTTTTAAAACTAACTATTCTGCAGGAGGCAGCAGTAGCATGACTAGTACAAGCAAGTCAAATTTGTTCTGTGACCATTGCAAGAGGTCAGGACACATCATGGCAAAGTGCTACAAGCTGCATGGATATCCTCAGGATACTCAGAATCAGACCTATGGCAGGAATGGATACAACAATAGCAATGAGTATAGAAACCCTCTAAGGCAGAATCAAAGCAACTATCCCAGGTTTAACAAAGGAAAAAGGGTAGCAGCTAATGTTCATGGATCTGATGTGTTTTCTAGAAATGATGAATACATTGACAAAGGAAATCAGCCTATGAGCCTCACCAGGGAGCAATATGGGCATGTGATGAATTTGCTTCAACACTTTCATGGTGGAGAAGCCTCCAGTAGCAGTAATAATCCCACAGAAGGAGCAGTAGACCTTGCAGGTATTGTGGTTTGTAGCTCTTCTTTAGATTTTGACAAATTTTCATGCAAACATTTTGACTCCAAAGCTGACTTGTGGATCATAGACTCAGGAGCTTCCAACCATATGACTTTTAACAAAACATTATTGACAAATCGTAAGACCCTACCATATCCACTACTTGTTTCACTTCCAAATGGATACAAGGTAAATGTGACACAAGTTGGTGATGTGATACTTACATCTAGCATCATTCTGCACAATGTGTTGTTTGTGCCCTCTTTCAAATATAATTTGATTTCTGTCCATTCTCTAATAATACATCTTAAATGTGTTGTGTCTTTTACTGATACCTTATGTTTGTATCAGGCCCCTTCACTGAAGAGGCCTCAGGTAATTGGTAACAACAAGGATGGACTTTATTTCCTGTGCACAAAGTGTCTCAAGACTGATTCCCAGCCTGAACATTGCTCTTCTAAGCTTGAGAGTTGCTCTTCTAAGAATTGTTCACCTATTTCCAATTCTCATGCTTCATTCAATTCTTTTAATTCTTGTCATCTGCAAAGTACTGTAATGAATCCTATCTCATGTAATAAAAATGAATTGCTTTCTATGACTTCTTGCTTATCTCATGGAAATAATGTAGATCTATTGTGGCATACTAGACTAGGACATGTTCCTTTTGCCAAGATGAGAGGAATATCATCCATACCAGCAAAGTTTTCCCACAAACAACCTTTTCTGTGTTCAGTGTGCCCCCTTGCTAGACAAACAAGACTTCCTTTTAGCCAAAGTACCAGAATTTCAACTAAGATCTTTGAACTACTCCACATAGATTTATGGGGCCCTTATCATGTAGCTACTTATAACAATTACAGATATTTCCTGACTATGGTGGATGATCATAGTAGAACCACTTGGACTCACCTCTTAAGTTGTAAGAGTAATGCTCTGCAGACTATTAAAGCATTTATTACCCTAGTTGAAAATCAATTTTCTACTACTGTCAAGACCATTCGATCAGACAATGGTTTAGAATTTACTAGCAATGAGGCCTCCCTTTTCTTTCAATCAAAGGGCATAATCCATCAAAGGACTTGTCCCTACACACCACAACAAAATGGTATAGTAGAAAGGAAACACAAATACCTTCTTGAGACAGCAAGGGCTCTGTTGTTTCAATCTAAATTGCCCACTAAATACTGGGGAGAGTGTGTGTTAACAGCCACATACATCATTAATAGACTCCCTAGTTCTTACTTGAATAACAAATGTCCTTTTGAAATCCTGCACAAAACACAACCAGATTATTCCTCCTTAAGGAGCTTTGGCTGTTTATGCTACCCAACTGTACCAAAAGTCCATAGAGACAAATTTGAACCTAGAACTGGCCCTCATATCTTTATAGGATACCCTTTTGGTACCAAAGGCTAAAAGGTCCTATGTCTAACCACAAAAAGAATACATATTTCTAGAGATGTGATTTTTCATGAGAATGTATTTCCTTTTGCATTACCTACACATAAAGGCACTTTTCCATCTGTTTTACATTCTATTCCTTCTGTAGAAACAAACATTGATATGCATGATGCTGTAGATTGTAATGTTCCTAATGCCAATTTGTATCAACCTTGCCCTATGCCATACCTACCTAATGATAATACCATCATTGAGTCTTCTTCTTTGCCAGTTCCTACACCACAACCAATAAATCCAACAAGGAAATCCCATAGAACTCCACAGGTTCCCAAGTACTTAAATGATTACATCTGCTCTTTACCCTCACTTAGAAACACCAATGCGACATCAGCCCTCACTCCTATATTACCTCTTCATACTGTTTTCTCAAACAATAGTCATATTGCTCCTGATAATCTGAGTCCTAATAGTCAGCTACTTGTTAAAAATGTCTGTCATGATCATGAGCCATCATCTTTTGAGGAAGCAGCCCTTTATCCTGCTTGGCAAGCTGCAATGACACAAGAGTTTGAGGCTCTTCATAACAACAAGACTTGGGATTTGGTTCCATTACCAATAGGTAAGAAAACCATTGGATGTAGATGGGTGTACAAAATAAAACATAAGGCAGATGGAAGTGTGGAGAGATATAAGGCCAGATTGGTGGTAAAAGGGTACACTCAACAAGCAGGGATAGATTACACAGAGACCTTTTCTCCTGTTGTCAAGATGACAACAGTGAGAGCATTGATTGCTACTGCAGTAAAGAGAGGTTGGGACATTTTCCAACTAGATGTGAACAATGCCTTCTTACATGGAGATCTTCATGAAGAAGTATACATGGACTTACCTCCTGGTCTTGAAGTAGCTGGTACCACTACAGTGTGTAAATTGAACAAGTCCTTGTATGGACTGAAGCAGGCCAGTAGGCAATGGTACGAGAAACTATCAGCTGCTTTGTTTTCGAAGGGGTACAGTCATTCCATGAGTGACTATTCACTGTTCATAAAGAAATCCAATCAGTCCTCCATTTTTGTCGCAGTATATGTAGATGATGTGATTATTACTGGAACTGATCCACTAGAAATTCAGCACCTTAAGCAGTTCCTTCATGATACTTTCAAAATAAAGGATCTTGGCAAAGTTCATTATTTTTTGGGCTTAGAGGTGTTGTATAGAGATGGAGGTGTCATAATATCTCTGAGAAAGTTTGTCTTAGATCTCCTAAAAGAATATGGTTGCATTGAATGTTCTAGCTTTTCCTCACCACTTGATCCTAATGTCAAATTGAAGGCCAAGGAAGGACCTGCTCTTCCTGATCCCACATTTTACAGAAAGCTAGTAGGAAAGTTGAATTTCCTTGTCAACACTCGATTGGACATAGCATATGGTGTTCAACATCTGAGCCAGTTCATGCAAGATCCTAGGGAACCTCATTTACAAGCTGCCTATCATTTGCTCAGATATCTCAAAGGTGATCCAACTTTAGGGATTTTTATGTCTTCACAACCAGACTACTCAGTTCATGCTTATTGTGACTCAGATTGGGCATCATGCCCTGATTCTAGAAAATCCGTTTCTGGTTATCTTGTTCTTCTGGGACAAACACCTATTAGTTGGAAATCTAAGAAACAAGAGACTATATCTCTATCTTCAGCAGAAGCAGAATACAGGTCTTTGAGAAAAGTTGTTGGTGAACTCGTTTGGGTGGATAGACTTCTGCAGGAATTAGATGTTCCTTTTTCAAAACCAATTGCAGTGCATTGTGATAGCCAGTCTGCCTTACACATTGCGAGAAACCCAGTTTTTCATGAACGGACCAAACACATAGAGGTTGATTGTCATTTTGTTCGCAATAAGCTTCAGGATGGCCTTATCTCCCTGCATCATGTTGTCACCACAGAGCAATTGGCTGACCTACTCACTAAAGCACTGACTGGCGTTAAGCAAAGTAGCATCATGTCCAAGTTGGCTGTGAAGGCCTCACATCCTACTTGAGGGGGGGTATTGAGAATGAATATTATTAACATGCATTTATACTTATTGGTCAGTTATGTTAGTTAGTTACTAGTTTGTTATTAGTGATTGTTAGCCTGATTAGTTACAGCTGGCAGTAGTTAGTTACTAGTTTGTTAGATTGCTAAGTGCAGTATAAATGCACATGTACTCATACGTTTTCATTTGAGAAGTTTATCAGTAACAAGTTCCGTTTTTCTTCTCCGTCCAATTGATGCTCACTTTAGGGCTTGTAATTGGATCGTCAATTGCTGCGTTTTGATAGAAGGAACAAACCTTTATTTACAGAATCTAAACCTTTTCCTACGAAAAAGGATTAGCCAGTACTCCTAAACTTTTTCCTAAAAGGAAAACCTATTTATGATAAGAAACTCAGGACAATTAATATACAACAATTTATACCTCATACCAAAGTACTCCAAGTGTATTGAACTCTATTGATTTCGATCTTTAAAAATTGAGATAATATCTCAGATGGTCACTCAACTAAAACTTCTTTTTTTTTTTCCAGAAAGTCACTCAACTAGAAAGTCACTCAACTTTCTTTTATAACCTCAAAGTCACTCAACTATGAGTTTTTCTCCCAGAAAGTCACTCAACTATGAGTTTTTCTCCCAGAAAGTCACTCAACTATGATTTTTCCTCTTAGAAAGTCACTTAACTTTTTTTTATAACCTCAAAGTCACTCAACTATGAATATATTACTTACAAAGTCATCCAACCTATTTAATTAATTTTTCATTAATATTTGTTGACATGAAATTTTTATTTAAAATAAAAAATTGTAAAAAATATAGGAAAATATCCTAACAAAAGTAGAATTTAAATAATTATGATAAAAATAGGTTTAAGTCGACTAACAAGACCTTCTGCTATCAAAATTTGGTGTCTTTCCAAATTGTTTTCAACTGGATTTTGGGTATATGTTTTTTTAAAGTTAATTTTAAATTATCCGTTTTAGCATAGGAATTAAAAAGGTCTCATTTGACATAAAATTGCTTTTAAAAAAATTAAGGTTCATTTTGTGTACTGTTCAGTTGGGATAAAAATACAACTAAGTAATCACATTTAAAATAGTCTTAGGTTAATGACTAATAATAATAAAATAATAACAATATTAATATTATTCTATTTTTTACTATTTTTATTTTTAAATAGAAAAAATTCATGTAAAGTAATTTTCATGAAAAATTCAATTAAATATGTTGAGTGACTTTTAAGTGAAATACTCATAGTTGAGTGACTTTATGAGAAAATAACTCGTGGTTGAGTGACTTTCTTAAAAAAAAGCTTTAGTTGAGTGATCTGAGATATTATCTCTTTAAAAATTAAGCTGTCTTTCATTAAGTAGAAAGGAAAAATAAATACGCTGACGTAGATATTAATATATTTCATGACCGTATACATTTTACTTGCTCCAAAATAAAATATATACTCCTTAGCATTATTTTAGTTCTTATGAACACAAAGAAATTATTAAATTTCACCGACAATTACGTTAATCAGTTGTCTTCTTTCTTGATTGTCAATGGTTAATAATGTTGACTTTTGATTAGCATTGCGTCCATAATTAATACTACTCCCGTTCATTTTGACGTGTTTATATTTACTCTATCCATTTTTAATGGTCATGTTTCGTTTTTTCGAAAGCCAATTTGATTAATTTTTAAAGTAAACTTAGATTACATTAATTTAATATTTTAAACAAAAAATTTAGATATTTAAAAACTATACGAAAAATACTATAAATTGTTATTTTTTGCATATTAATATTAATCAAAATTCTTATCGTTTGACTCTAAAAATAAAAATTATGATAATTTAACATGGATGGAGAAAGTATTAAATTTTGCACACTCTTTATAAATAACAGGAGCCATTAATATGAGACTTGATTATAAAAATTAAATTAAAAAAAAGCTTATGCTAAAAATAAAATAAAATGATGAGTAATAATAATGAAAGATAAGTGGTGCAACTGCAGTACATTAGTATCATTATGGGAAAAGTGTGCAATTGTGG